AATAGGAAACATTTCCTAACTCATTTATGAACCTGGCCCAATGAAGACATTAAAACAAAATAGAGACTACTATATAATGTATAAATTCTATACTAAACTCAGTCATGAACAAAGACTCAAAAATCTTTTTGAAAAATTGGCAAATTCAAAAAAAAAAAAAGAAAAATTGGCAAATTCAATCCAGCAATGAATACAAAACCACAAATGACCACGTTGGGTTCACCAAAAGAACACAAAGCTGGCTTAAAATTAACAGTCTACTAACTGATTAAAGCAGAAAAATTTGGTGTCATATTACTAGATCTAGTATTTGATAAATCTCAACATTCATTCATGACAATTCTTAGCAAACCATTAGAGAAATGACCTTCATTAAAATGATGAAAGCCATCTACCATGACGATTTGATAAATCAACATCCGATTTAAAAAACAAAAGAGAAATACAAAAGATGACCTGACACAGGAAAGCTATCAAAAGCCTACAGAGGCAGCACCCGTAGTTTAGTGGGTAGGGCATCGGCCACATATACTGAGGCCGGCAGATTTGAACCCAGCCAGGGCTAGCTGAAATCAACAATGACAACTGCAATAAAAAAATAGACGGGCTTTGTGGTGGGCATCTGTAGCCCCAGCTACTTGGGAAGCTGAGGCAAGAGAATCACTTAAGCCCAAGAGTCTGAGGTTGCTGTGAGCTGTGACACCACAGCACTCTACACAGGGCCACAGCTTGAGACTCTGTCTCAAAAAAAAAAAAAGCCTAGAGGAAAACCATAAAGTTTATCTTTAAAATTAGGAATAATTAACATGTTCCCTTCATGTGAACAAAAAAAAAATAAAATTAGGAATAATAAAGGATGTCCTCTATCATTATCTCTTTTTTTTTTTGGAGACAGAGCCTCAAGCTGTCCCCCTGGGTAGAGTGCCATGGCTTTACAGCTCACAGCAACCTCCAACTCCTGGGCTCAAGGGAGTCTCCTGCCTCCGCCTCCCAAGTAGCTGGGACCACAGGTGCCCGCCACAACGCCCGGCTATTTTTTGGTTACAGCCGTCATTGTTGTTTGGCGGGTCCGGGTTGGGGATTCGAACCCGCCACCTTAGGTGTACATGGCTGGCGCCTTAGCCGGTCGAGCCACAGGTGCCGAGCCCTCTATCATTGTCTCTATTCAATATTTGTGTGTGTCTACACAGAAATAGGCTTCTAAAACTTCTATGAAAGATTAAAGGGCCAAATATATCAAAAACATTCCTGAAGAAAAGTGGTTTTTTTGTGGAGGGAGTGGTTATAAACCAATGATATGGAATACAGAGCCCTCAAACAGACCCATGTGTGTAAGGAAATTTGATATGGTAGGGGGGTATCGCACATCAATGATGAAAGAGTGCTGGGGTAAATGACTGTCCAAATTTAAAATAAAATAAGACCCCTTATCTCACACCAAACACAAAACCTAATTCTACATGCATGAGTAAGTGTGAAAGGAAAAAGTTACAAATTTCATAGTAAAACATAAATGAATATCTTTATAGCCTCGGGTAACAAAGATTTTAAAAAAATACACATATAAAACCCATTCAAGAAAATTATTAGGCTCGACACCTGTGGCTCAAGTGGCTAAGGCGCCAGCCACATACACCTAAAGGTGGCAGGTTTGAATCCAGCCCGGGCCCACCAAACAACAATGATGGTTGCAACCAAAAAATAGCCGGGCATTGTGGTGGGCACCTGTGGTCCCAGCTACGTGGGAGGCTGAGGCAGGAGACTTGCTTGAGCCCAGGAGTTGGAGGTTGCTGTGAGCTGTGATGTCACAGCACTCTACCCAGGGGCACAGCTTGAGGCTCTATCTCAAAAAAAAAAAAAAAAAGAAAGAAAGAAAATTATTAGAGGTGGGGGCAGTGGTTCACACCTGTAATTCTAACACTCTGGGAGACTGAGGCAGGAAGAACCATTTCTCCTAAAAATAGAAAAAAATAGTTGGGAGTTATGGCGGGTGCCTGTAGTCCCAGCTACTGAGGAGGCTGAGGCAGGAGAATCACTTGAATCCAGGAGTTTGAGACTGCTATGAACTAGGCTGACACCTTGGCGTTCTAGCCTGGAGCAACAGAGTGAGACTCTGTCCAAAGGAGGGGAGGGGAGAGGAGGAGAGAAAAGGAAAAGAAAAGAAAAAAATTGTTGATATGTTTGACATATTAAAATAAAAACCTGCACTGAAAGACATCAGAAAAAATGAAAAAGCAAGTCATAAATGGAGAGAAGATACTTAAAATGCACATACACTGAGCATGAATATCTAGAATACATAAAGAAGGCTTACCAATCAGTAAGAAATAAGAAGAAACAACCAAATAGAAAAACTGTTAACAGGTATTTACAGAGAGGAAAGGTGTATAGCTAATCAACATATGAGAAGGTGCAAAACCTAAGTAGAAATCAGGGCAAATAAAACCACAAGCTATCATTTAACACCAATTAGATTGGCAAACACTAAAAGTCTGACAATTGCAAGAAGTGATGAACCATGCAGCAATGTAAATTGGTTTAATGTCTTTGGAAAATGTTGCAGTATTATGTGCGTGAAGTAAACTTGAGAATAATTTTTTTTTTTTTTTTTTTTT